TTTCAAAAATATTTAAAGAGAAGGGGAAGGGAAAAAAGAATGATTTTTAAGAATTTTTCATACACTCATACACTATTTATTATCATAGGAGGGAAAGTAAAATTCAAGAAAGTGCAGATTAATTTAGCAAATAAAGTCTAGCCTGTGGGTTATTAAAGTAAATGCAGACTTGAGCGAGTGGGTCCTAGCTCTGATTTTTAATGCCATGTCTCAAAAATTGTGTCCGTGGAAGTTATGGATAATTTTTATTAAATAGCAAGGATAAACACTAATAACAGCACATTTCTGTGTTCTTAGATTGTCAATTACTACTTATGTTTTCTTTTTTTCCTGAGAATTATTTACCTAGTTTTATTTATTTTTATCATTTTTAATTTGCACATACTCACCAGAGAGAGACAGAGAGAGAAGGGAGAGTGAGAAAGCAAGTTGCCAGGTCTGGGACTGGAACCATGGTCAGCCATGTGGTAGTCCAGTGTCTAAGCCATTCTGCCACCTGCTGGCCCCACCATTTATGTTTTGAAGATTAGCCCCTGAGAAGCTGCTCGTTTATTCTTGGTGCTTAGTGATCATGAAGGGTATGAAGTTGCTACCTGGGTCCTTTGTTATGACTCTGGACAATGGTATGCCCTGCAGTCAGTGATTACTTTTGAAGAAATGGATGAAGTAGTTATAATATGATATAGATATTATGTCATAAGCATAGTATTAGTAAACATTTTAAAAAGAAGACATAGACCTTAAAAGCACAAATTTTAAATGAACACAATTGAGGAAATAAATATTTTCTTATAAATATTTTCTTATTGATAATAATTATTTTCACCAATTTTTAACTGCTGTCTATTTCTTCTGAGGCAGCAAAGATTTATGAATTTTTTTTATTTTAGCGATTGCCACAGAGAATATGTGCTCACCAGAGAGAGACAGAGAGGAAGAGAGAGGGAGAGGCAGAAAGCACCCCCCAGTGAGGTATTATGCCATAGTCCTTTCTATTTCCTCATCCTGTTAGGATTTAAGGAACACACACACACACACACACACACACACACACGTGCATTTTTCAAGCCACTGGGACTGGGGTTTGAACTGTGGTTGGTCATATGGGATTTAGCTCCCTTTAACCATTAGACTACAGGGCTGGCTTTATAAATTTTAATTATCATGACCTTTGGATTTAAGTTAATCTTTAGAAATCTTAATAAAAAACTCTCAGCTTTGGTGGAAATATCAGAAGTCTAGGACTTGAAGGTGGAGTGACCCATAAAACCCTTATGTCACTTATTTCATCTGCAAATTGTTCCTCAGTGTCAAGTGAGAACATCTTTTTTCCATTTCATCAGATTTATCGTCCCTGTTTTAATTTTACCTTTCTGCTTCATTCAGTAGAGACAGTATACAATCCCATTCCTTTTACTGTAGAAAAAAGTTAAAGAAATTTCTTTTTAAAATTTTGAGAATCATTGTTTTCCTATTGATTTATGTTCTGATGAGAGATTTACCTTTACATACATACAGCTAGCTTCCTTTCCTCACCCACACCCATTTTAAGACTGATCTTTCCATTCAGTGATTTGAAAAAAATTCCATTTTGGGTATTGGGTGTTTTAGGATGACAGTTCTTCAAAGTTGATTTCCAGAAGAGCTAGTACAGTTCATGATATTTTAGATCAGTTCTTGACTAGAACAGAAGATTTTTGCCTTTTCAGTTTACAGGGATTTCATCTTATCCAATGGTACATTAAATTGGGCTCATGTTAGTGGTATTTTCAGGGGGGTTGTCTTATAAGCCTTGACCATGTATTTAAGAAAGCAAGTAAGCACAGCCTGGCAGTATAGGCTGTATCGTACTAGACTGTAGTACTGGAAGCCACATGCCGACCACCACATGGATCCTTGGGTAGACTGGGCACACAGATACATTCACTCTCTATTATTAAAAAAGAAGAAAACCAGTAGCTTAATCCTTAGATATGTAACACACCAGTGGTAGAGGAATGCCTACATAAACCTCCCGTTTTAATAAAACGTGGCTCCACCATATAGATTTCTATCTCTTTTTAGGGGAATAGGTAGGAAACCTATAATGCACGAATTATTTAAAGAAAGTATGAAATTGAACTCTAGATTTGAAGAGAAAGACATGTCAGTTGCAGGAATAGCTCTACAATTTGTGAGGCCATACAAAATGGAAATACATGGCCCTTTGTTCAAAAATTAAAGAATTTCAAGACAGTGAAAGCAGAGCACTCTAAAAGGACTGGGCTCTTCACAGCATAGGCCCTGTGTGACTTTACAGGTCACACACCCACGAGATCTCAGACAGGATGGAGGATCTCAAAATCTTGAAGAGCCTTCTCAGAACTGGCTGCCTTTCTGTATCTCTCCTTAGCTCCTGAGTGCTTTGGAATGGTTTAAAACTTGGAATTGCATCTTCCTCCCAAACAGGGCAAAGAGCAATCTGTGGGAAGTCAGTACACAGTAGAGTTCAATCTCTAACACTGAAAACCTGCCAACTTTCCCCCACTCTGCAGAGACGAGAAAGCAGCTGTGGGCAGTAGAGTAAGCCCTGTGGGTTGGTGGGATATATCATACTTACAGATGTTCCATTGTTCATTCTGAGATTTAATAGTTTGTCTTTTTATCCAGTTACGTTTCCATAGTATATGAAGGACACAGCTAAAACCACTTTATGTAGATTTCCCACTTAGTTTTGCTTTATTATTTGTTGTTTACAGTATTATCTCCAATAACAACAATGGAATTTCCTTCCCTACTCATCTGGCCTGCTTCCATTTTGCCTGTTTATTTTAATTTCCTCTTTTTGGACCTAATCCTCTACATGACTCCTCTTTGTTTATTTCCTTGCTTCTATGTGTCAGCATCATTTATTATTGTGTTCACTCAGAAAAACTTTGTTCATTAATTATGGATGTCTGTTTCCTGGTTCCTAATGGAAGTATATTAAGTGCTCAGTGTTTCTAAGTACTTCACGATGGTTTGGGTTATCAGTTTCCTCCTCATTACTTTCTTCAAGAAGATGGACTTACTCTTCCTGCTTACAGATGGAACATGCAAGACCCCAAGGCAGAGAATTCACTTCTCTGCAGAAGACTTGCTTTCTCAGCTCCTCTAACTTGTCATCCCTGCCCCCTTACCAAATTCAATTTCCATATACTTTTATTTGAGGAGCAGGTTATGTGACTAGATTATAGAAGTCCTGCTTTTTGTAGGTATATTCATTCCCTGAAGACATTTCCACCAACTCTAGTCTATTGTTAACTAATGAGCAAATCCATTTTATCCATTAACTGCTTAGGGGTGCAGGATGAATGTTAGGCTTGATTCCTTCCTTGGGAGAACTCAATAAAATCAATACAAAGTTAAGGAGAAGTGATAATTTGACTTCTACAACTGTTATTTGAGTATGCTGGATATGCCTCCTCATTTTCAATGGATTCTAATTATTTACAGAATGATTTAATTAACTCATTTATCACACATTTAGTACTGTACATATGTCACCATCTTCAGATGCTTATAAGACTAGAAGGTAAAAGTAGAGTTGAAAGCAAATAATAGTGTTATAGGTGACACGGAGAAGTCTGTTCAGAGTACATGAAGAGAGTAACAAAGGAAGGAGGTCTTTATTCTCTTGAGGACAAGTGTCAGAGATGAGGGCTAAAGATTCTGGATGTATTTGAGAGCCATAAATACTTCCAAATGACTGAAACAGATTTCTGAGGAGGGGCAGGGAGTGAGAGGAGATAAGAGAGGTGGAAGAAGCCAGACACAAAGGGCCTTCGATGCCAGGCTTGGAAGTAGTTTGGGTCTTATTCTCCAGGAAAAGTTTTATGTAGGTGGAATATCACTAAGATTTATTTTAGATTACCCAGAGAAGGATGGAGTCAAGGGAACTTGACTGGAGACAAAGAAGACTCCTTCCACATATGGTGCTAGTAAGCAAGATAGGATGAGATCTGCACAAGCCAGCAGCAGATGGAAAGACGTCAAAGAAGTAGACTTTCGAGTGCAGGCATTCATCTTAAAATATTATCTTTACAGCAACTGTTGATGAAATCAGCACCCAGGAAAGCAATTTAGCCAATAAATGTCAAAGGAAATCTTCCTCTGTGCTTCCATTGCCATTCGGAAACATGATTATTGAGGCATTTTGCACACTATATTGTAATATATTACACGTACATGTTACAGTTTCTTTCCCTTCCTTTCTTCCTTCCTTCTTCCCTTTCTTCCTTCCTTTTCTTCCTTTTCTTTCTTTTTTGTGTCAGAGAGAGAGAAAGAGATACCCCAATAGAACTTCCATGCCTGGGCTCAGCTGACTCATCTAGATCACTAGCTTGCGCATTTATGGTCACATGTTTGGGGAGGTCCCGGGACAAGAACCAGGAATCTTCCCATGTGGTCCAGTTGTGTTACCACTGTGCCACCTTCTGGCCTCATTCTATATTGCTAATGCTTGTTTATCATTCTTTCTTCCCTGAGGCTTTAAACTTCTTAAGGTTAACAACCAAACTACTGAATTATTTGTGTATGCCTAGCATGGAGTCTTGAGTAAACAATTTCTCCATGGATATTTGAAGAGCAAAACTTTTGACACCACCATCAGTGTTCCTCGTAGCATGAAGATATGAAAACACTGCTCAGAATTGCTCAACACTCACCCATTTCCATCTGTCCCCCTGAAAGGGCCAAAGCAAAGTGATGAGCAGCTCTAACAGGCTGTTGATACTTTTTGCTTTGTTTTAAAATTTATATCACTTCATCCATTATCCAAATGTGTCTTTGCCTCCAGAAGTCTGCATTAAAATGCCAATAATGAATATTTATCATAAAAGTGGCCATAAAAATTGATGCCTCTTGTGATACTGTCTTCAGTGGTCTCATTGTCCACAAATCAAGGGTGATAATTTGCTTTCATATGTCTCTTTATGTTACTTAACGTGTTAACCTGAATCATGCTTTCTCTTTCCACACAGATCCGTAATGCCTCCTGCCTGTCTCTTTCAAGATGGAGGGGAAACCTATGGGAGAGCCTACTCAAGTGGTGTCTAAATCCAAACTTTCCACCAGGGTCGAGAGCACAGGACATTGGCTGGTGGAAGATCATGCACGGATATGGGAAGTTTTAAAGACAGAGGAGGTAAGACAGTTCTGAATGACACAGTTGGTGCAATGTTGGATTTGCTCATACATGAGACTGCAGTTTTCCTTCAGTGAAAATTCTAAATACAGCTTTTATTTTTATTATGTGTGTAAGGTAGAATAGGCATAGTTGGATGAAGAGCTATAAAACAAAGATTGGAAACACAATGGAATTTTTTTTTTGAGAGAGATTTTTGCTATCGGGTGCATACGTTCACCAGAGACAGAGACAGAAGCAAGAGAGCACCTCCTGGGGGGATGGCCATGACATGATCCCTTCTCCTCCATTCTCCTCCTGGGATCTTGGGTATGTACATACACACACCCGAAGTGAATTTTAAGCAGCCAGGTTCAGGACTCAAACTATGGTTGGCCATGTGGGAGTCTAGCAACATAACCACTATGCCATCTGCTGATCCCACACAATGGAATTGTTAACCTGAGCTCAGAAATTTCTGATTTCACTGAGCTTTGGATATGCTCATCTTATCTGCTCTGATAATAATAGAAAGCTAGAAAAGAGTGTCTCAGAGAAAGGTACAAAAGAAAGTAGTTTAAAACAACTAATGTATTTTAGAAATGAAACAGGGAAATCACAGAACACTTAGTCAATTATTTTTTTTCCAAGAGGCTGTCTGGGTGATATTTATTATCTTAAGCGATTGTCTAGGATCTGGTCCTCAGTTTGCGAAGTCTAGAAATTTTATTTTCTCAGACATTTGACTGAAGATATACTGTTCTGAGGCATGAATTAAATTTTTGTGACTGATAGATGAAAAGAACATGGCCATCCCTTCATTGATAAAGATAAACAGAAGAATTTCATCTCCTGGAATACTCAGGTTATAATGTCTAGTACCGATTCTCCTTGCAAGCAAACCTAAATGGGAAAACAAGTAATGGTGAGAAAGTTGATTTCTAAGGACGGAATCACAGCAAGTAATTGTATAAATTCCTTGTTTGACAGCAGGAGGCTAAGTATATCAGTTCTAGTTCTCTGATTGCAAGCAATAGGAACTGACTCTACTTTAAGCACAATGAGAAATTATTGAAAGATGCCGAGAAGCTTGGAGAAGTAGGCTCAGAAATAGGCTAGGAACCAAATCAGTAGGAACTGCTTGGGGTTCTACCCCAGCAGAAATTCCAAACTGGTGTTTCCCTCCCACCCCCAATAGTTTAATGTTTCTCTGCTCAGGATGCAGTCATGGGAGAGAAGACCTCACTGAAAAGTTTAATCACATGTTTTTCTTTGGTTATTCTATAAAGAGAAAAAGAGTCTTCCATTAGAAATCATTATACCAAGTCTTGACTGCATTTGTATTTTTGTCCAAATTTCTAACATGTACACATTGGGACAATCTTAATCCGAGAAAGTAATCACCTGACAACTAGTCTTACACATGTGAAATCCGGCAGAAGGAAGTGTTCCCTCTCCAAAGGGATACTTGCACAATAGTTGTTTATTTATTTATTTTTTTTATTTAAGAAACATGATTCTATAAGTAAGAAGTTTTTTGTATCCTACCTGACAGGGCCAATGATTGGGGTGAGCTAAGTGAGGTGCTGAGGGAACAAGGTTTAAGGAAGCACTCACTTCTAGCTTTGTGCCCTGCACAAACTTAAAAAAAAGAGTACATCCTTCACATTTGCACTCTAGGCTTCTTGCTTCTCTCTCCCTAATCTTGGTCCCTGCCACTCAATTCTGTTCCCCTGATGTTCATATGATATCACCATCATATTTGCATTGTGTCATTCTAACATTCCCCAAAGGCGATCACAACCCTGAATTTGGTGTTAATCATTCTTATGCATATTTCAATACTTAAACTGCATCTGTGCATATCTATAATATATAGTATTGATTTACATATCTTAAATTTTATATCAGCTTCACACTGTATTTGTACAACTTGCCTTTTTCACTTCATGTTTTATTTCTATTTTTTTGTTGATACACGTAGTTCTAATTTATTCATTTTAACTACTGTTTACATTTTGTTGATGAATAGAGTCAAATTATCCATTTTTTTGTTAATTACTTTTTTAAAAAAACACAGTGTCCAATATAATACATTTTTTTCTTGTGGATGTGTGTTAGAGTTTTTTCCTAGCATAGACACCTAGATGTGATATGCTGAGTTGTAAGCTGTGAATATCTTTAGTTTTGCTAGATATTATTATTAATTGATTGGTCTCTGAAATAAGGTCATGAATTTATATCCCATTAGCAGCATATAAGAGTTTCTCTGTTCTATATCCTCACCTGTTTTGATATTGACAGACCTTTAAATATTGGCTAATCTGATTTTAGAAGTTTTGCTTTTATTTTTCACTTTTAAAACCTTTTTTCAGGTAAGACACAAACATACACATAGGCAGACCTGCAGAGGGTCAGGGTCACTGATATCACTGTTTTCTACCTCCACATCTTGTCTTACTGGAAGGTTCATACATACTAAACAAAACAGGATTAAATCTAGCACAACCGAGGGTGATGTGACTGGGAGCCCTGGTGCACAGGCAATGGGTGAAGCTGCTGCTGGTTTAACATGGCATACTCTTTTAGAGTAAACTTTTTTTTATATATATAAGTAGGAGGAATACACTCTAAATAATGATAAAAAACCATACTACAGTAAATACATACCAAAAACATAGTTGTTCATTATCATTAACAAGTTGTATGTAGTATACATAATTGTATGTGGTGACAGACAGTGCACTAGGTTTATTTATATCACCATCACAAACACATGAGTAATGTGTTGCATTATGAGCTTACAACAGCTATAACATCTCTAGATAATAGGGATTTTTCAACTCCATTACAATCATATGGGACCGCCATGATATACGCATTCTGTCATTGCCTGAAGCATAATTATACAGTGCATGAGTGTATTTACTTATCTAAGAGCTTAGTAGTAATAAAAATCTCACTTTGGTCTTAAGATTTTCTTTTTCCTTTCTTTCTTTTCTTTTTTTTTTTTTTTGAGTGCACTCTTGGAATAATAGTTTAGGTGGATATATAATGATAAGTTATTCTCTCAGTTGACTGAAAATGTTCTGTTGTCCTCTGCCTTCTGTTGTTTTAGCATAAAATATAGATTCTAGTCCTTGGAATGTGATTTTTTTTTCTAGCTACTTAGCTCTTCTTTATGTTTTTGCTCTTCTGAAGTTTCATTCTTCTATTTCTAGATGTGGGTTACTTTCTATTTTTCTTTTAAACTTTTTGAATTCAAAATGCTTCTCAAAAAAGTGAATTGGTGTCATTCATCAGTCTGAAAATATCTTTGTAATTTTTGTCTCCAACTCTTGCCTCATTCTCCTTTTATGACTCTGAAAGGATTTATGTTTGCTCTTTTCATTCTTTGCTCATGTTCCTTTCAGTTTTTTTTAATCTCTTTCACAGTTACTATCACTTTTTTTTCTTGTCTGTGTTCACTTTGCTTAATTTTAGACCTTCCAGTTCATTAATTCTCTCTTTAGCTCTATCTAATATGATCTTTAATTCAGTCTTTGAGTTTTAAAGTTTCAATTATTATTTTTTTACTCTAGAAGTTCTAGTTTGTGTTTTTAAGATCTTTTAGTCATTTTAAAAATCTTAGCTTTTTATTTATAATTTTATTTATTGTTAAAGGCATATTTGTTAAGAATTATGAAAGGTCTCAGATTTTATCTTATTTGTAAGTTAGCTTGTTAACATACAGTGTTGTATACGATTAAAGAAGACCTGGGACTCTTGGCCAAGAGCAAAAGGTTTTGTTACTTGCAGCAGAAGCATTAATTTAAGTGTCAGCATGTTTGTTTTGTTTCCTATATCCCAGTTTCTACAGAAGTGATACAAATGGGCCTAGATAGATGCCTATACTGGGGAAGAACACTGACCTTGAGAAACTTGTCACTTTACAGTAGTCAGTAAGCAAGTCTGTACTTTGTTCTAACATTAGCTCATCTTTCAGGGTTATTATTGCAAGCCTAGATGGTAAAATGGTCTGGGTGAAGATCAGCTGGGGTATATACAACAAAATATGTAAGAACAAGAAAGACCTATGGAAGATTTTTTTTTACTCTCTGTCTCTGCCTCTCTCTCTCTCTCTTTTGTTATCTATTATTTCTCTCTCTCCCTGCTTAGAATTTACTACCACAAACCCACCTGCCCATAGGTTTCCAGCCTGTATTCATATTGAGTGGACTGGAAAACATCAACACTTACTTGTCAAGAATTATGAAAGACCTTAGATTTACATATTGGGTCACTGGAAAAGTCATGACATATTTTTGATTACAAAAAACAGAAAAATAAGTCAGGATTTTTCTAATGACCCAATATTTACATATGTTTAAACTGTATATTAAATATGTGTGTGTGTGTGTGTGTGTGTGTATGTATGTGAGTATACACACACATATTTAATTGCTGGAGGGTGTGTGTGCTTGCCAGAGACAGAGAGAAGGAGAGGGAGAAAGCAGCCTCTGATTAGAGTGTGGTCACTCTGCAATCCCATGTCCTCCGTTTCTCCTCCCTGTCAGGGTTTTGAGCATGCAGGCCTATGCTCCTGGTGTGTTTTTCAAGCAGCTTGCGCTAGGACTCAAACGTTGGTTGGTCATGTGGGAACCAGCTCCTTTAAGTATAGGAGGCTTTTTACTGGGCCAGCCTATCCTAACAATATTAAATACAGTAATAATAAATAAAACAAATATAAATGTTTTCTAAAAACCATGAAATATAATGGTTTCATATTCTGAATCTGGTAAGTCAAAAAGCTATGCATCTTACTCTGTTTTTTGTTGTTCGTTTTTGCATATGTTGTTTTGTTTCTTTGTAAGTTTTGTGATTTTTTTAAAATAAATAAACCTAGAGTTTTATTAAGTCAAAAACTGACAACTGTGGTATGAAATTTACATTTAAACAAAGTTTTCACAGAAACCTAACACGTGCTTAAAAAGATTTAACTATGCAGCTCAAGATATCGGTCTAGATGCTATCAAGAACTG